GAGAGAGAGAGAGAGAGAGAGAGAGAGGAGGGAAAAGAGGGCAGTGGGTAGACTTGGACACCCCGCCCCCCAACAAAGAGCAAAGCAAGGAAGAGAGTTCCTTTTTTAGATACATGAATTTCACAGTTGTTTGATATGAACCATTGCACAGTAAGATTACTAGATCATACCCCGTGTGGGTTGCTTTGGGATTTTTGCTATAACTTCCAATGAGATTTGGTTATATGAACATAAATGTTTTGATTAATAATATACGAACTAAAAATGTAAAAACATACGATTGTTGTATAATTACGAAATGTTTATTGAATATAAGTAGTATAATATAACTAAGACAATTGAGCATTTCTGCATTCGTGGTTGGATTTTTAGCTGAGTCTTTTCACATCCACGGTTGCGTGTTGATGTGACATTGCTGCGTGTTGAGATAAATATGTTAATGGAGAATCATGTATTAGTTATACTAGATGATACCTTGCATGTTAGTATGAAAGTTGTTGGCTATATATTTTATTGGAATTGGAACATGAATATTTGATTATTGTATAGATATAAGATATTTGTGAAATACAAGAATTGTAATATTTTTCACATGCATGGTTGCACGTTGTGGTGAATCATTTTCAACGCATGTGCATGTCGTGGTGAATCTTTTCCCATGGATGTTAGCATGCCATGGTGACTCTTTTCTCTTTCATATTGAGGTGGCATAGTTGCATGTTAAGATAAATAGAATTAGTGTGGATCACTCTCAAATATATAATAGGATATGATTCTAGTGTTCTCCATTTGCCTTTTCAATAGAAACACAATTGTTGATATTTGTGCTAACTAATTATATTATAGTTATCATGGATGCCACCTAGCATCCAGTAGATGATTCCCCACTAATTCTATGCAGCTGAAGCAATGGAATCCCTAAATATACCCAAAGGTGTTCGTCGAGTTCTCTTCAGGACATTGAACACAGACATGTATGGCCTCTTTTAAGGGCACATATTCAAGTAGATAATGTATTTTTACCATATCATACTACATGCATCTAAGCAAATGATTTATAGGGGACTCATGTGGAAGGAAGGAGGTGATATGAGTTACGTTGGATTTACGGCGGATGGTGCCCAGTGGCTTGTTGACAACACCGACATCAAGCTAGTTGGTAAGTGGCTTCTTTTTGGAATTACATATAACACGATGGTATTTATATTATTTTTTCTTCATGATTTGGTGTATATTTTCTATTATATTTTATCACTTGTATAACCTTTTTGCTTGGTGAATCAAATAAATATATTTCCTTACCTTATTTAGCATAAAAATTAACGTAGCAAATCTGCAGGTCTGGACTATTTATCTGTTGCATCGTTTGATCACGCACGCTCTGCCCATGTGGCCTTCTTAAAAAATGCGGTAAGATGTTAGCATGCTTCCCTTACTCGAGTGCAAAAAGAAGTAAAAAGTGGTTGGCATCAGCTAACCTTGTTGTCCTTTAGTCTGTAGTCATGTAGCCATATGCGCCCTATTTCCCTAATCTACTGACAGAAATACATTCTCAATGAACTTACTTTGCAAGAGGTTGCATTATTGATTGAAGTCATTGGTTGATTCACTTACTTTGTTCTGTCAGGATATCATATTAGTTGAACATCTGAAGCTAGAATACGTCGAGACCGGATTATACACGTTGCACTGCTTACCTCTAAGATTGGTTGGATCTGACGGTTCACCAATCAGGTGCATTCTTATCAAGTGATCACATCTTCTCGAAGGCCACAATCTATCGTGTCTGTTGATGCTACATATACACTCCACCTATGTAATTTGAATGTTGCATATCATGTAAATATGTTTTGTACTATCAATAAAGTATTCCAAACGACAACAAAAGTATAGCATTACTACAAACAAGTCACAGGTGCAACACCAACATTGCATGTACAATAATTCTATTTATTTCTATAGTTGCATGTCTAAACTTACATTACTCTTATGCCAAATTATGAAACAAGTTCATGGGATAAAATGGCTTCATATGTTGTATTCTTTCTTAATTTGGCATAACCTTAATGTAAATTTAACCAAGCTACTATAGAAACTAATATAATTATTGTAGCTACAATGGTGAATATAGTTTATCTCTTGGTGTAACCTTATAATACCTAGAACCCAATGAAATAAGTAACTAGGAGTTGACTTGGTCAAATCTTACTACAGATAGCAAGGGAAATTATGATATTAAATTTTGTTACCAAACAGTGGCTACATTTGAACCAACCCCCACCGGCTGGGGTGGGGAGTACGAGCAGGCGGTAGCAACAGGAACTGTTCATCCACAGTCAACCAACCGGCTATGTCAACTCACCACGTCTCGCGCAAGGGGCTCGATCGATGCAAGCCTCGACTCCATCTACTACGTACTGTGCGCGCCACAGCAATGGGCACTGCTCATTGAGAGGCAACAAACCGGCTAGGTCGGTCAACTCATGTCTCGGGCGGGTACTCGATGCAACGCATCGATCGATCGAGTTCGGTAAGCAGCGAAGGGGGTCGATCGCTCGGGTTCAGTTATAGCAGCAAAGGGATTTATTGGGTTCAGTTAGCGGCTAAGAAATCGCTCGGGTTCAGTTAGTAGCGAAGAAACAGTTCGAGTTCAGTTAGCAGTGAAGGGATCGATCGCTCATGTTCAGTACATAGCGGGATCGATCACTCATGTTCAATACATAGTGCGAGGGATAGATCAATTGCTGGGTTCAGGAAGTGAATGCCTCGCTCAGGTTCAGTTAGCGAACATGGCTCGCACACACGCGCGTGTACGAGAGAAACATGCAAACCACTATATCGCTCGGCCCGACCACCCACCGTATACCAAGAACTCCCCGAAAAATTCCTTGCCCTCACATCTACCACAATTTTTTACATCATGGACGGCTGATACGTCTCTGTCGTATCTACTTTCCTAACGATTTTCCTCTTGTTTTGGACTCTAATTTGCATGATTTGAATGAAACTAACCCGAACTAACGCTGTTTTTTGCAGAACTAACATGGTGTTGTTTTTGTGGAGAAATAAAAGTTCTTGGAATGGAACGAAACTTTGCGAGGATTTTTTATACAATAAAAGATAATTTCTGAAGCCAAGAACCACCGGAGGGGGGCACCTAGGTGGGCACAACCCACCAGGGCGCGCCACCCCCTCCAGGCGCGCCCAGGTGGGTTGTCCCCACCTAGTGGCCCCGCAGACCCTAACCGATGCTATAAAAACCTATTTTCCAGAAAAAATCAATGATAAAGAATTATCGCGTTTCATGAGACAGAGCCGCCGCCGGCTCCTGTTCTTCATCGGGAGGCCAGATCTGGAGTCTGTTTGGGGCTCCGGAGAGGGGGATCTTCGATCTTTGTCATCACCAACCCTTCTCCATCGCCAATTCCATGATGCTCCCTACCGGGAGTGAGCAATTCCTTCGTAGGCTCGCTGGTCGGTGAGGAGTTGGATGAGATTCATCTTGTAATCGAGTTAGTTTTGTTAGGGCTTGATCCCTAGTATCAATTATATTCTGAGATTGATGTTGCTATGACTTTGCCATGCTTATTGCTTGTCACTTTGTGCCCGAGTGCCATGATTTCAGATCTGATTCATTTATGTTATCACCATTATATCCATGTTCTAGATCTGATCTTGCAAGTTATAGTCACCTACTATGTGTTATGATCTGGCAACCCCAGAGTGACAATAGTCGGGACCACTCCCGGTGATGACCGTAGTTTGAGGAGTTCACATATTCACCGTGTGTTAATGCTTTGTTCCGGTTCTCTATTAAAAGGAGGCCTTAATATCCCTTAGTTTCCAAGAGGACCCCGCTACCACAGGAGGGTAGGACAAATATGTCATGCAAGTTCTTTCCATATGCATGTATGACTATTTACGGAATACATGCCTACATTATATTTATGAACTGGAGCTAGTGCCGTATCGCCCTAGGTTATGACTGTCTCATGATGAATATCATCCAACGAATCGCCGATCCAATGCCTGCAATTTTCCTACATATTGTTCTTGCTAAGTTACTATTGCTATTGTCACTATTGCACTTGCTACAAAATCACTGCTACCACTGTTACCGTTACTATTGTTGTTGCTACTACTATCAAAACTATCATACTTTGCTACTGATCACTTTGCTGCAAATAATTAATCTCCAGGTGTGGTTGAATTGACAACTCGGCTGCTAATACTTGCAAATATTCTTTGGCTCCCCTTGTGTCGAATCTATAAATTTGGGTTGAATACTCTACCCTCAAAAACTATTGCGATCCCCTATACTTGTGGGTTATCAAGACCTTTTTCTGGCGCCGTTGCCGGGGAGCATAGATATATTTGTTGAGTCACTTGGGATTATTATCAAATTATCACTATGAAGAATCTGAATGATGCTAAGACTAAGATTTTTTTCCTCTAAGACGAGGGGAGGTAAGGAACTGCCATCCAGCTCCGCTTTAGATTCACCTTCTGTTATAAGTAAACTTGCAACACCACCATATGCTATTAATTTTGATATGTCACAAGTTAATGATGATGCTACTTCTGCTATGAATGCTACTCATGATGATCCTATTACCTTTCTTGATGGTAATGTGCCACTAGGTGAATTTCTTGATGAACAAATTGCTAGAGTAAGACAACATGATATTGTTGAAACTAATGATGAGCTTGAAACAGAAAATCTTGAAACACCTATTAGAACTAGCCGTCCTAGATATGATTTGCCAAAGGTACCGGAAGGTTATGTAATAGGTGAGGAGGCAACTAGAGATATTCTTACTAGTACGGATAGAGATGATCTAAAAAATTATTATGCAAGTATAAGAAAGATCTTTGAATGCTAGAATGAAATATGATCCTAAGTTTGCTACTTCACCTATCTTTATTGATGATAAGGATTATGAATTCTCTGTCAACCCAGAGTTAATTACTTTGGTTGAATCTGATCCTTTCCATGGTTATGAAACTGAAACTGTTGTGGCACATCTCACTAAGTTGAATGACATAGCCACCCTTTTTGCTCATGATGAGAAGATTCGCTATTACTATATCCTCAAGTTATTTCCCTTCTCATTAAAAGGTGATGTCAAAGCTTGGTACAATACTCTTGCTCCTCGTTGTGTGCGTAGTCGGGATATGATTTATTACTTCTCTAAAAAATATTTCCTTGCTCATAAGAAACAAGCTGCCTTGCAGGAAATATTTATCTTTGTGCAAATTGAAGAGAGTCTCCCACAAGCTTGGGGGAGGCTTCTCCAATTGCTTAATGCTTTGCCTGATCATCCTTTTAAGAAAAATGAAATACTTGATATCTTCTATAATGGACTAACTGATGCTTCTAGGGATTTCTTAGATAGTTGTGTTAGTTGTGTTTTCAGGGAACAAATTATTGAGCAAGCCGAGGAATTATTGAATAACATATTGAAAAATTATGATTGGACTCCTCCTAAAACACCGCCTAAACCCACTCCGAAGAATAGGGGTATTTTATATCGCAGTCCTGAAGATATGCAAGAGGCAAAGAAATCTATGAAGGAAAAATGTATTAAAGCCGAGGATGTCAAAAATTTACCTCATATTGAAGAAATATATGGGCTTGATACACCACCACCACCTAAGGTGTAGACGTACATTCTTTGTTGAAATTCAATGATAGTGATAATCCTCATAATAAACATCCTAGTCAATGCCTCTATGAGTTTGATAATTACATTAGAAAGCAAGATCGCTTCAATGCAAATGTGATGAAACAATTGAAATACAACTCTGATATGATTGCTCGCTTAAGTGACTTGTTATTTAGAATATCAAATGATGTTAGAGGTGTAGGAAAGCATGCCTCTATGGTTCAAACTCAATTAGAATAAGTTGATAAATCTCAAAAAGAGTTGCTTGATGAAATGAGTAATATAAGTGACTTTGCTGTTAGGGCAGCAACCAGAGGAGGTAAAATGACTCAGGAACCACTTTATCCTGAGGGACACCCAAAGAGAATTGAACAAGACTCTCAAAGAGTTAAAATTGATGCACCTAATCCTTCTAAAAAGAAAAAGAAGAAGAAAAATAATAGGACTTTGCCTGCCTCCAGTGAACCTGAAGTAGAAAAATCTCTTGATAATGATAATGAAGTTTCTATATCTGATGCTGAAACTCAATCTGGTAGTGACCACTCACCTTCTGATAATGAGAAAGATAATGATGAGGTTCATGAAGATACTCAAACTAATAATAAAGAACCAGATAATGATGTTGAGATAGAACCAGTTGTTGATCTTGATAACCCACAACCAAAGAATAAAAGATATGATAAAAGAGACATTATTGCTGGAAAACACGGTAAGGAAAGAGAACCATGGGTTCAAAAACCAATGCCCTTTCTACCTAAGTCAACTAAAAAGAAAGATGATGAAGAATTTGAATGCTTTGCTGAAATGTTGATGCCAGTCTTTTTTGCGTACTCGCTTGACTGATATCTTAAAAATGCCCCCCTATGCAAAGTACATGAAAGACATCATCACCAATAAGAGAAAAATACCAGAAGCTGAAATCTCCACCATGCTTGCTAACTATACTTTTAAAGGTGGAGTACCTAAAAAACTTGGAGATCCGGGAATACCAACTATACCTTGCTCCATCAAAAGAAATTATGTGAAAACTGCTTTATGTGATTTGGGGGCTGGTGTTACTGTTATGCCTTTCCCTTTATATAAAAGA